ATCTTATTGCTCTGGCTAGAACTTCCAGTGTTATGTTGAAGAGCAGTGGTGATAGTGGACACCCTTGTCTTGTTCCTGATCTCAAAGGAAAGGCTAATTTTTATAACTTTTAACACATGTAATCATAGCCTATAAGAATATTGCCAGCAGTAATTTCTTGGGGGTGGGGGGACTGCATGTTTTCATTGAAAATAGGTCCAATATTAAGTGCCTTTAAATCTTAAACAGTTATCTTAAATGGTTAGAAGAGTTTTAGAATTCACAGGTTTCTATTTACTTTTATGTCTGCATTTTCTTTTGTCATTAACTTTTAAAGTGTAACTTCCCCTAGTTTTATTATCTTGTCTTAATATTATAAGAAGTTTTATATTTGTAATTACAACTAAGCTCTCAGTTATCAGTAAACACATATATCATAGTAATGCTCTGAAAAAATAAAGCAGAGCTGGAGCAGAGAATGACCTTGGTGTGTTTTAACTAGATAGTTATAGATGGCTTCTTCAAGCAGGTGACATTTAGTCAGTATCATAAATGAAATGAGTGATCTCTGCTGATTTTGGGGCAAAGAGGGAGCAGCAGGTATAGAAACCCTTGCGCTAGAATGAGGTTGGTGTATTTAAAGAGTGATAAGGAAGAAGTCATTTTGACAAAAGCACACCATCCAAATGTAAAGACATAGTGTGTTGTTTTTAGCACAGGAAAAGTGCAATCTAAATTTTGCCTTTATGGGTTTACTCTATCCACGTCTTTAAAATGTACATGGAAAAGAATGTAGGGAGAGGATGGAGGAGTGGAAACTGAGAAATTGGTGAAGAGGCTGTTATAGTAGTTTAGTTTAGATGAGAGATAAGTAATTGCTCAGATTAGAGCAGTGGCAATTGAGAGGTAATAAGAAGCTGTCAGATTAGGTTTATATTGATATTTTTGAAGTAGACCTAAAAAGGATTTACTAATGGAATGGATGTTGAATCTAAGAAGAATTGATACTGATGTTTAGATAATGGGGGAGGGGACTATAGCTAGAATGAGCAAGGGATGTTAAGCTAGATCTGATTAAAATCCCACATGTACTATTAGATATATGTCACCTTTAGATAAGTTCCCTGATCTTTCCGTGCTTCTCTTTCTCATCTTTAAAATGGCAATACTGGAGCCTCCCTTGGGGCCTAGGAGTTACGTCAAGCATTTTCACTGTTATGGTCTGAGTTTGATCCCTAGCTAGAGAGCTAACCCACATATGGCTCAGCAGACCTCTCCTGGCACACTCACTGCTCTCCTTACCATGGTGTTTCAGTAAAATCCATCTGTTCCGCTACTTGGTGTCTGGTGAATCCACTCACCCCCTGCACCTCTGGGTACACCCCAGTTTTTCTGCAAAAAATAAATATTTTAAAAAATACCTGCTTTGATAATTATTTCATTGTGCCTCTGAGGCCATTTACTCACTATTTAGATCACTGTGTGATGGTAGCAGCTCATCTTTCTTCCTTAGGAAGGCTTTAGGGCTAATGGGACCCTAAGCATCACTGTTGATCAGTATTTCATATAGTATAGTATTTATATAGTATTCTTTGTATCAGAATATACATTGAATTTCAAATATAAATGAAACACCCTTGGAACTAAACTGTGAATTGAATTTCATAATTGGAAATATGGGAACTATTGATGAACTTCAGTCTTGGTGCATTGCTGTTGTAGACTTATATAATGTTTCAAGGTTATCCTTATTTAAAAAATAGTATATCATTTGGACTTTAAGATCAGTGAAGGGTTGTTAGAAGGGAAGCATAAAGGTGGGTAGGTAAATTATAAGGGAAGGAGAACTAGGCATTTAGTGGTGAATATACACACTGATATTCAGTAATGCATACCTGAAACATACAATGTTACAATGTAATGTTACTTTAATAAAAAATAAACTTAAGAAAGGAAAAATATAGTATATTAATATCAGTTTATCTTCAGTTTATTAATATCAGTTTATCTTCAGTTTATAACAAGAAAGAAATTATAGGAAATCTTGAAAGTCATTTGAAAGGCTTTTTAAAATCATGTTTGTCATAGAACTTAAAAATGAAATCTGTTAAAAAATATTTTTAACAGTAATTTAAGATTAGTCAGATATATGGATTTCTCATTTAAACTTTTTCTTCTTTCTTTAGGTGAAGCTGTACTTTACAAAAACAGTAGAGGAGCCATCAAATGCAGAGGCTAGCAGTTCAACTTCTGTTACGCCAGATGTTAGTGACAATGAACCTGATCATTATAGATATTCTGACACCACTGACTCTGATCCAGAGAATGAACCTTTTGATGAAGATCAGCATACACAAATTACAAAAGTCTGATTTTTTTTTTTTTTATCAAGAGGGATAAAACACCATGAAAACAAACTTGAATAAACTGAAAATGGACCTTTTTTTTTTTTTTTTTAATGGCAATAGGACATTGTGTCAGATTTCCAGTTATAGGAACAATTCTCTTTTCCTGACCAATCTTGTTTTACCCTATACATCCACAGGGTTTTGACACTTGTCGTCCAGTTGAAAAAAGGTTGTGTAGCTGTGTCATGTATATACCTTTTTGTGTCAAAAGGACATTTAAAATTCAATTAGGATAAATAAAGATGGCACTTTCCCATTTTATTCCAGTTTTATAAAAAGTGGAGACAGACTGATGTGTATACGTAGGAATTTCTCATTTTGTGTTCTGTCACCAACTGAAGTGGCTAAAGAGCTTTGTGACATACAGGTTCACATCCTACCCCTTTGCACTTGTGGCAACAGATAAGTTTGCAGTTGGCTAAGAGGAGTTTCTAAAGGGTTTTGCTATTTTCTAATGCATGTATTTGGGTTAGGGGAATGGAGGGAATGTTCAGAAAGGAATTTATTTTATGCTGGACTCTGGACCAGATACCATCTCCAGCTAATTACATGCACCTTTCTTTAGCATGCTACAGTTATTAATCTGGACATTTGAGGAATTGGCCGCTGTCACTGCTTGTTGTTTGTGCATTTTATTTTTTTTAAGCATATTGGTGCTAGAAAAGGCAGCTAGAGAGAGTGAATCTGTAATGGGGTATAGGAATGAACCTTCTATAACATCTTAAAAATTCACGAAGGGATTTAAAAATAACCTGGTTATAGATAAGAAACACAGCAACAATGACTTAACCATACAAATGTGGAGGCTATCAACAAAGAATGGGCTTGAAATGTTATATAAATTGACAATGATTTATTAAATATGTTTTCAATTGTAATGACTGCTCCATCTCCTGTGTAATCAAGGCCAGTGCTAAAAGTCAGATGCTATTAGTACCTACATCAGTCAACAACTTACATGTATTTTATTAGTTTTCAATCATATACCTGCTGTGGATGCTTCATGTGCTGCCTGGAAGCTTCTTTTTTCTCATTAAATATAAAATATTTTGTAATGCTGCACAGGAAATTTCAATTTGAGGTTCTACAGTAAGCGGTTTTTTTTTCCTTTAAGATTTATGATGCACTTACTCAATCCAGTAGCTGTCAGCCGTTCCACCCTTTTGACCTTACACATTCTATTACAATGAGTTTTGCAGTTTTGCACATTTTTTAAATGTCATTAACTGTTAGGGAATTTTACTTGAATACTGAATACATATAATGTTTATATTTAAAAGGACATTATTTGTGTTAAAAAGGAAATTAGAGTTGCAGTAAATTTTCAACACTGCACAAATAATAAGGCATTTACATTTTCAGTAGAAATTGTCCCACATAATGCTTTATTAATTCGCTATTGAAAAACTTTTTTTAAAATGTGCAGTGTTGAACCATTTCTTCATAGTGCTAGAGTTAGGGCTAGGGCTTCAATTTCACTTCTTAAATATATATTTGATATGCCCAGACTGCATACATTTTTTAGCAGAGTACAACTATTGTAAAACAGTTGTGAAGATACTATTAAAAATAATTTTTTCCCAGAAATTTGGTGTCTTTCAAATTATATCTTGACCTTGAAACATTTGAATATCTAACCAGTTTCTTTCTTAATGGTGTAAAAAAATCTCATTTTCAATAACTTATTGGTGCTGAAATTGTTCACTTGCTGTGGTCTGACCTAATAAATTTACAAGTACAGATTGCATAGGTCCTATTAGAGCAGCATCTATAGAGTTTGATGGTAAATAGATTAGGCAGAACTTCATCTAAAAAAATTCTTAGTAAAAAATGTTGACATGTTTTTTCCATACCTCGTCAGTTTCATTTAACAAAGTTTTTAAAATTTTAACAAAGCTCTTAGGATTTACACATTTATAAATATTGATATATAGAAAATTGGTTGACTGCTCATAAGTTAAATTGATAGACAACTATTCCTAAGATATCACCACTGAAATTTATATGTCACTTTCATAAAACCTGAAAATTGTTGACTAAAATGAGAATCAATTTTGAAGATATTTTGAAGATAGTTATTAATACTTGTTAGTTTGGGGCACAGTATATTAAAAAAAAAACAACAACAACCTTGTATTCTAGTATGTAACATGGAGGGCCAGGTCATAAATAATGACATTATAATGGGCTTTTGCACTGTTATTTTTCCTTTGGAATGTGAAGGTCTGAATGAGGGTTTTGATTTTGAATGTTTCAATGTTTTTGAGAAGCCTTGCTTACATTTTATGGTGTAGTCATTGGAAATGGAAAAATGGCATTATATATATATATTATATATATAAATATATATTATACATACTACTACTACTCCTCCTTTATTTCAGTTACCATCCCCATAGAATTTGACAAGAATTGCTATGACTGAAAGGTTTTTGAGTCCTAATTAAAACTTTATTTATGACAGTATTCATAATTAGCCTGAAATGCATTCTGTAGGTAATCTCTGAGTTTCTGGAATGTTTTTTTAGACTTTTTGGATGTGCAGCCGCTTACATGTCCGAAGTTACTTGAAGGCATCACTTTTAAGAAGGCTTACAATTGGGCCCTGTACCATCTCAAGTCCTCTGTAGCTCCTCTTGAACGTTTTTTTGCCATAATTACTAAAGGGTAGTTGAATAATAGCATCACCATTCTTTGCTGTGGCACAGGTTATAAACTTAAGTGGAGTTTACCGGCAGCATCAAATGTTTCAGCTTTAAAAAATAAAAGTAGGGTACCAGTTACATGTTTAGTTCTAGAAAATTTGTGCAATATGTTCATAACGATGGCTGTGGTTGCCACAAAGTGCCTCGTTTACCTTTAAATACTGTTAATGTGTCATGCATGCAGATGGAAGGGGTGGGACTGTGCACTAAAGTGAGGACTTTCACTGCAGTTTTGGCAGAGTTGCCTTCTACCCTGCCAGTTCAAAAGTCAATCTGTTTTCATATAGAATATATATACTAAAAATTTCAGTCTGTTAAACAGCCTTACTCTGATTCAGCCTCTTCAGATACTCTTGTGCTGTGCAGCAGTGGCTCTGTGTGTAAATGCTATGCACTGAGGATACACAAAAAAAATATGTGTACAGGATAATGCCTCATACCAATCAGATGTCCATTTGTTATTGTGTTTGTTAACAACCCTTTATCTCTTAGTGTTATAAACTCCACTTAAAACTGATTAAAGTCTCATTCTTGTCATTGTGTGGGTGTTTTATTAAATGAGATTATCACTTAAATGGTTTAAATTGATTGGAACTTTAAATAATGGACAACCAAATGTGATGAAGAGTTTTCTGTAAGGTTTATTTTTTTTTCTGTCTTGCAAAGCATACAATTATCAAAATGGGGTATGTCAGCTTGGTATCAGTCACTACTCATGTTTAAGAGGCATTTTTTAGGGCCTTAGTCAACACTTTAAAATTGTCTCAAGCACATAAAATAAAATTCTGTTTGAAAAAGTTCATGATTCTTGAAAAGTTGTACATATTTTTTAAGTTAAGCAAGATGTCTGAAAATAGTTACCAGAATGGATTTTGATATTCAGATTTTAGTTTTGTATCTCTTCCATTCTTTATGTATTCTACGTTCTGCAGCCAATATATGTGAAGCTTCTTCTACTCATTGTGACTTGTGCCATATAAAATGGAAATTCTAGTCTAAAGTACTTTGTGTATTTGAATTTAATTTTGTTTCTAATATTCTTTAGAGCTTAAGTAAGGCATATCTTTTCAATAATGCATAATAAGGTAATAAGTGAAAGTGTAGCTTGTACAAATGTTTTGAAAATAAGACCATTTAACAGTGGAATTTAATGATATTTCAAGTTTACATTCTAACTATGTGACTTATTAAAAGTGAATGTCAATGTATAATAACAGACATGTAAAGTATACTATATACCCTTTAAGGTATATTGATAAGTATAGTTGAAAACTACTGAAGTCAAATTCTGATTTATAAGAATACGTGAGATGACAAAAATAGAAATTACTGGCCTGTTTTCCCTTAATGTGCTCATTACACTGTTAACTTGAACTACTTGGTTGAGTGAATGCCATCACCATTTCCATTGGGATTTTTAAAATCAACAGTGTTTTTAACTTACAGGCTTCCAAAGGCTCACAAAAAAATCAAGATGCTAAGTCTCGTTAATTTGTAAGAAAACTGTGTTTATTCTTGCCAGATAGTCACATAACTAAAACTTAAATGGCATACATATAGCTTTACTAAAAGTGCCACTGCTAAAAGACAAGTTTGTGAATAAAAGCAATAAGTCTTTAGTCTTACCTAATTGGTATAAGAACAGTCCATAAAAGACAAGCAAGCAATATAACAGGAAAACATTTTAAGATTTTAGAAGATGAGATGGTAGAGGCTGGTTGTCCTTTAGAAATACGTAGCTACAGGAAATGTAATGGTTGAATTGCCTATGAACTGTTTTAAATTTTAGAACAAATCTGTCCTTTTATGACCACAATTTTTATTTTCCCATCTTTTGAGAAACCTTTCCTTACAAGTATGTCAGAATGTAAATAGCTACTCTGACATTCATAATGGTTGACAGCTCTAAAAGTTTATAATGTGAAGACAGGAAAGAACAAAATGGTTTCATTGGTAGTAATATCTTTGGTTCTTAAATTAGCTATTTTGAGAATATTGAAGACAACAAAATCACTTGTAAACCCATCCCCTGGGGGGATGAGATAGCCTTTATTAAAATATACTTCAGTGGCTGCAAAAATTTTTCTGTACATATTTAAAATTTGTATTGTGTGTACCTAAAACTGTTAAGTTTTTGTCATGGATTTGTATGTTAAATTACATCAGAAAACAGACTGTGATTTGATTCTAACACTACAGGTGAATGTTAGATGCAATTAGAGACCCCTTTTCACTTTAATGGGTTAATTGGGAATGTTTTAATATTGTTAGCATCAGGTTGATATGTCTAATAGTTTATTTAGCACAGACAAGCTTAACATGGTAGATACTTAAGAAACCATTTTAAACATTTGCATTTGGAATACATAATAAATAGGTTAAAGAGCATAGGTTAAATACTGTTTTATAGTTATCTTCATCACCTTTTATTTCCCTTTTAGGTTGGAAAGAAAAAATGAGCTATGCAAGTCTTAGTTCTCATACTGTTGCCCAAGTTAGAACGAATTACTTTAATTCCTGCAAAGAAAAAGAAGACAGAAGAGCTGTGGTTGGTTTATCACTTAGTTGTCTTTATATGCTCATGGACTTCCATCACACCAAAAACAATATTTCACAAATGGTTTACTACCTATAGCTCTGGAGCTAGAATGGTTAGTATAATGGTAGAATGGTTAATATAATGATACACAAATTCTTTTAGAACATTAGAGAATTTTATTGGAAATTTAGCTGGAGACTACTATATAACTTATAAACCAATATATTGATATTTTGATGTTTTTACATAATTAAAACTGCCATCTTTGAGCATTATTACATTTTAAAGCATATTTTAAAATGAATTGTTTAACAAAGATTGACTTTTCACTTTTTAATGAAAATAATTTATATCTTCTTTGTTGCATATAGATTCTCACTTGTCCTTAAAATGGTTAGAGATTTTATTTGTATGGACTGGGACATGTCATGACTCTGGTGCTTCAGTTTGTCAAATATGTTTACTGCAGTGAAATTCTTAAAATGTATAGGTGTGACTTTTGTAGCATATCATTTATTGGCTTTTTTTATGTGCACCATTAGGATTTTCTGCCTACTATACAGTTTTCCAAATGATATCCCACATTTACAAATGCTCTTTACATTTCTATTTTTTTAAATTGTTCTGATGCCCTCAGTGTGTGGGTGTGTATACGCTCGTATGCAGTTGTGCATGAATTTGCATGTGTGTGTGTGTGAATTTTTGAGAGTGCTGGACTCCAACATTAGAGATTAAATAGTTTGATCTAGGCAAACAGTTTTCTCACTGGAGAAAGTCACAGTTCATTGTCTAATGAAAATAGTGTTAAGGCTGGATGACCTTGACATACAATAATGAATCTTGGATGTTAATTTGTTAGTAGCCTATTGTGTGTTTGTGAGTTATTTTCAAAGTTGTGCATTTAACCAAAGTTTGTGTATTGGAAGTGCTTGTGTGAAGTACTGTTGGGCTGCTGATGGACGTAAAAATAGAAATGCTTTCCTATGGAGAGTATTTTTTCCTTTAAAAATTAAACTTTTAATTTTGAATTTTTGGTTTTAAACTTTTTATTCAACAATTTGTATTTTCTGCTACCTGTAACAGATGATTGGAATATACTAGTGATCAAAATAGACACACCCTATTTTACCTTAAGAAGTTTTTACTTTAATAGAGGAAATGCTATCAATTATAATTGCTATGAAGTGTTCATATGAGATAGTAATTAGAAAACATTCCATATTTTCTCCTAAACGTCTACACACTTGAGCTTAGATGGGGCCATTTAACCAGTATGTTCCAATGAAATAATGAAAATTATATAATGATTCCAAAGAAAGGCATTAAAAATAAAATCCCTTGTAAAATTCTTTATTACTATATTTATTTATTTATTCATATGGAACTGGAATACAGGCCAGAGATGTGGAAGGTGAGAGGATTCACCAGAGACAGAGAGGGGAGCAGAACAGGCAGAGTGACGAAGTACACTACTGAGGGGAGCAGTGGGAGGGTCAGGAGGGGTCTGCAGCGCCATTTCGATCTCTTCCTGGGCAGGCGGGATTTGAACTCATGCGGTAGTGCCTTTAGCTTCTCAGTGCTGTGCTTCAACCCACCGCGCAACCAGGGAGGACCCCTTGTAAAATTCTTAAGCTTCTTTTCCTCTACTGCAGTGATGGAGGACTTGACATGTTCCAGATTGTGAAGTTCTGCCAGTCTGGGTCTTGAGTGACCATATGGAGCAGAACTCCCTCAAATTCTTTTCCTACACTAAATATGTAGACATTTGCATAAGCAAGAAAGGAACTTAATTTACATTCTGGGACATTTGTTGTAGCGTAATTATTTTCACACTAGTGATTTAGAAGAACCGTGCAAGTGTTTCCAATAAAGAGGGAGTTAAAGAATAAAGCAAACTGAAAAGTGACATCTTTAAGCAACATGATGCAATAACAAACTGAATTTCAAGTTCATAGTTATTGAGCAACTGATGTGACAGGCACTATTTTTTTTTAAAGATTTATTTTTATTTATGCACACAAGAACTGGGGCATAGGCCAGAGGTGCAGGGAGCAGAGAGGATTCACCAGAGACAGTGGGGAGCAGAACAGGCTGACCTACTGAAATACACTGCTGATGGGCCGCATCAGGCAAGATAGGAGAGGTCTGCTACAGCTTATGGGTTAGGTTCCCAGGGATAAAATTCTGCTGCTGGGGCTGCCAATAGCTTCCTAGTGCTGAGTCTTTAACCCCTTCACCCCTAGGGAGCCCTCATAGGCACCATTTAAACTTTTGAATATGGCAACTAAATGGCTATATAGTAAGATCCCACCTACTCTCATGAAGTTTATATGTTAACAATGAATAATGATAAACCAACATAACATATATGAAATCATGAGTTGGTTGGGGTAGGGTAAGGCTGGGCACCAAATGTGAAATGAGATAAGAGCAGATTTGTAGAGATAGTTGTAGTATTGATTAATATGGTCTGAAATAAGGTCTCTCTGGGAAGGTGAGATTTGAACAACCCCCTGAAACAGTGCTGTTAAAAATGTCTGAAATCCTTTCAACTAGTGAAATACACTCATTTTCCTTTTGCAAGTCTATATTAATTCCTGTTTTTTTTTTTAAGATTGTTCATGGTATATCTGGGAAGATTTTTTGGAATGCCACCCAAAATAGTCTCTGTCTTCTAAGTCATTTTGTTCTCTAAGTTGGTTTGGCAATCTATATAATCTGCAACTTTTTATCCTGAGTTGAATTCATTTAAAAAATTTTCTTACCATTTTATTGTGTATTATTCTATTTTGAAAATATTTGATATCACTTTTTTTTACATTTTATTTTATTTATTATTTATTTGTGCATACAGAAGTGGGGTACAGGCCAGAGGCTCAGGGACGGTGAGAGGCTTCACCAGAGACAGTGGGGAGCAGAACAGGCAGATCGATGAAGTACACTGCTGAGGGGAGCAGCGGGCGGGTCAGGAGAGATGTGCCGCACCATGTGGTCACCTCCGGGGCAGGCGGGAATCGAACTCGTGAAAGTGGCTTCAGCTTCTCAGTGCCATGCTTTAACCTGCTGTGCCACCAGGGAGGGCGATATCACTTTTTGATAGAAGTTCAAATCCTGTTAGTCTTAAATATTTCTGTAAAGCTTAAAGGAAATGCTTATCATTTATTGAAATTATAAATTTTGAGTTATTTGAGAAACAAAAAGGTGAAACTTATGAACTTGTGTTATATGTTTTAATTCTTAATAAAAAGCAAAACCCTGGAA